GGATGGACTATATATATTGAATACGGTCTGTCGAGCACCCTCACCGCGTTTCTGCTTATCGCTACGCTGTGTGAGGTCTACATTATAGCTAACAGCATACTCTATTAGGTGCTACAAACGCGCGTCACTTTCTTAGAACATATGTCCGTGACTCGACGTTTCACAATCGTCTTATGTATGTCTTTCTCGGGGCCCATTCGAAGTCTACGAGCTGAAATGCTATATGCAGGACGTTTTCGTGAATTACCGGCTCGGTATGCGATTGAGGACTGGATAGCTAACGATGATATAAAGGGAAGAGCAGCGCTGGAGATCAAGGGCTCCTTGCTGTTCACGTTCAGGACATCAGGTGGTGCCACGAGACGGGCAGCAACAACGAAGAGAGCGGCTTACCAAGAAATAGTACGTGTGTCTTCATTCAGAAGCCTATCTGAATTCACTTAATGAAGCGCATATATTCAGGTTTTACCGACGTTTATCTCAGGAGATTGCCGAGTTTCCTTGATCAGGGTGTCAAATATCTCTAAGAAAGTGACGCGCGTTTGTAGCACCTAATAGAGTATGCTGTTAGCTATAACGTAGACCTCACACAGCATAGCGATAAGCAGAAACGCGGTGGTGTATTCACTGTACCTAATAGAGTATGCTGTTAGCTATAACGTAGACTACAGAATACCAATCAGTGACATAAACGAAGTAATATAAGTAGATACTCACCCTCACACAGCGTAGCGATAAGCAGAAACGCGGTGAGGGTGCTCGACAGACCGTATTCAATATATATAGTCCATCCCGACATAAAGGGGTATCGAGCTTGGCCGGCGGGATACGACGGAGCTCCTGCTTGCTAATCCAACATATGTTTTCATATTTCTTGGTCGATGTATTCGTACGGCGAATAATTAGTCGGAAGGGGAATCCCCATATTAAATTGGGTGGTATGGTACAGCTTGCTTCAGGAATAGACATATTTCCATTATCTTTCCTTACTGCTTCTTTGGTACTAATTATATCACCCCTGCTTTACGCTGTTTCCTAGCGTCTTGCTCTTACATCACTGTGTCACTGCTTATCACTTAGCTATCGTACTAGTTATTCATTAAAAGCACAAAATTGTCCGGTAGATGAGTAACTAAATACTAGGACTTATGCGGTGGTCGTGAGAGATCGGCATCTAATGCCGTTCATTGTTGAACCGGCGGCTTGACTCCCTTGGTCCCTGGGCGCCTTTCGCTCTGTGGCAACCCCAACCTTCCCTTGTGATCTTTATCGCTCATCTGAAATGCTGCTCTCAGTTCCCAACGAAATCCTGAACAGGATTGCCTTTGAAGTAACAACTACCATATACTGCCGGAAAGAAACTAACCAGCATGCAGGCAGATAGTCTAACTCGTCAGCACCTTCGAAGTACATGCCAGCGACTCCATGATGTCGCCACACCTCTCGTCTTTGAATCAGTCAACATCGATCTATCTTGGGGGCTACACCCTAGCTCAGCTTCCATCTTTCTTAAATCACTTATTTCGGGTTCGAAATTGGCGCAACACATCATCCGTCTTTCCCTCTATCTGCCCCAAAACTTCCAGCTTTGTTGCTCTTGGTTCGAACTGCATTCCTTTGATGACCTCTTCCTTCAAGCTATTCCATCTATGGTTTCATTGAAATCGTTATGGTGAGTTTTGTAAGATTTTGACGAACTTGATTGATATTGATCACCCATCTCAGTTTGAACAGTAACAAGAATTGGGAACCGAACTATGCTAAGCTGATGTTTGAACGGTTCGGAAATCTACCCCTCTTGTCCAGCCTGAAGATAGACCGTCGCGGCAACTGGGACATACCCTTGTCTCCATTTCGTCACATTCGAGATATCAACTTGAACTATTGGGGCCAAATAAGCAACGAGCTCATTACTTTCCTCGGCTACAATCCAGACATAGAAAGTATAGATGCTTACGTCTGGAGCCAGAGCATCGACAACGATCAAAGTGGATCAATTTCATGGTTGTTTAGCTCTTTGCCTACGGGAACGTACAGTACTGTGAAGACACTGAAGATAGGCGGCGGAATGTATTCCGAGTTATACGCATACGAAATCCCCAAACTCATACCTCATCTCCGTCACCTCGAGAGCCTGACCATGCGTAGTATTACCATACCCGATGAATTTTGGGATGGATTGCAGGAGCAAGGAATATGCTTGGTGTCTCTCACATATCACGAGCCCACTTTGACGTTACTGTCGTATCTCTCGTCTTATACAGGGCTTCGTGAACTGTCACTTAACATGTCGTCAGCCTCGACCAATGGCAATCTCCATATCTCATCCCTTCTTCTGACCATCATCACTTCGAATTCTTCGTCCTTGACGACAGTTCACATTGAGCCCCACAACAGCGGAGCATGGTGCTTGGACCATCCTATGCTAGATGCTTTGGTTCTTTGCCGCGGTCTGAAGTCATTACATGTCTGCGCTGACAAATCGAGAACGACAGCAGAAGAAAACAATGTGATTGTGAGTCGCTCACTTCGTCCCAGACATGATCTGTCCGACGGCTAACCGTGTTTGTAGGATAGAATATTACAAGCTTTCATGTCATCCTGGCCGAATCTCTGGGATCTTCAAATAAATACGGTTTCTCGTTCCTATGGATATAACGCAGAGAGAACGACCGCAAGTGAAATGCATGGGCGCATTTTAGCCTTGCGTTTCACGCCGCCACCACAGGAAAGGCCTAGACTGCAACTATCATCAGACTTCGCCACATATTCTGTGAAAATCCATGATCAAATGAACAACATTCACGCGTTCAAGGTGCAGCACATGAAGTATTATGGGGACAAGGAATCGTGGAGGAAATACAAGTTCTGGAAGTGATCTGATGATACCAATGATGATTCATATTCAATATCTACTCGTTACTCCTTGTTTTTCCATTATTGTGATCAAAATAGCCCTTATATTTCGAAACAGGAAAGTCAAACTTGCTCTCAAACTAACAGTTTGAATGAATGCCGTCACAAATTTCGAAGCTCACATCCTCACGAATAAGGCAGCAATCTGATCCTCCGGAAAGATGGTCAGCCAATAACTGGGACGTCAATGACCAGCTGTATATTCGAGCTCTATTGTTGTGGCGGGCATGTCTATCTAACTATGCTAACTCACACAGATTGCCAGTGAAAAACTGTCTCGTGGATCTATAGTCATCACAAATAGTACTGGGAGTCCTGTGAAATGCTGCAAAGTGACAATGAATGACTCAACAATGTCTGGGATGCATACTACTAAAACACCAACACCAAATCACAATGCAGTTCGAGGGAGGAATAGTAATACCTGGACTCTAAGTATGTAGAGAATGTAAGGTGGATAGGGTGCAATAAGGGGTTGTTCAAAGATATATATTGTGGTTTGCTTGGGCAAAGCTGTCTGTGTCACTGAACACAACAAAATTTATCTCAAACAGTCTGCCTGGTGTAGTTTCTGGACTGATATGATGCATCTGGTTGTGACTTATACACAATACTGACTGTTCTGAGCTATCTCAGGTCTGTCTGTCTGTCTGATATAAACTTTCAGTTGCTTTCTAGGGGTTCTTGTACAAAACAAAGTGACCTGGTCACCAAAATACTATTCAGGTTGAGTCTATGACTCAAAGCTCTTAGCCAAATACAACCCATACTATTCACTTGGTAGTGTTCTGGGGGGCCAGAAAACCTGCCCACCCTCTATACATGACTGGTATTTATACTATCTAACTACCTATATCTGACTAACATAACTGTCTACTGACCAATCTACTTGCTGAGCCAACCAGGTAGGCTGAACTCATTCCCTGGCAGATATGAGCTCATATGCAGCTACCTGGTCAATTGATCTGGCCAGGCCATGGATCAAGCAGCAGGATTTGTCATTGTGCTGATCCTTCAGCTCTTATGCTGAGACCTGGTATCTGGCACACTTAGTGAGAACACTGGTCAAACCCACCAGTACCTGTTTAAGTACCGGGAGTGATCTGCTCCATACCAGGTACTAGCACTAGCATTCTTACTTGTTATTTACTTTCTGTACTGGCTACAATATAACTTGGCAGAAAACTGATAGATAAGCTTGTTTTCTACATTGTAAAGTTACCTGGCATAACACCTGTCTTGTCGCATAAAGAAGTCAACCGTGTTATTCCAGGGACCATTGCGCCATGTCCGCGCTCGAGACATCAAAATGACATGACTTCTCCTCGCTCACGGCGTAGACATCAATGGGTGGAGCTCACCCTGCCACACTCCAGCCGATCTTAAGGCCCGGTTATTTTACGAATCCGGATATAACTGCATTATCAACAAACGATTCGAATATATATTCTCAGCCATCCAGCATGGAGAGCAGATCGACATGGAAGATTTAGTTGATGAAGGTTTCGTGCCCCGTACTCTCCTCATGGAGGCTGCGTCGACAGGTCAGATAGCGATGGTAAACCTCCTCATGCAAGAATACGGAGCAGACGACACCCTAGTCGCACCCGATGGCCAAACCGCTCTGCGTCTGGCCGCCACAAACAAGCAACGCGAGATCACGATGTTCTTGCTTTCCCGACGTTTAGGCGCTTTCAAACGGATTAAATGTGGGTTAGTTTCTGTTCATTCTTTGTACGGCAATGGCTGACAACCCTCTTGTTTCCAGTCCGATCGAGAAAAAGCCATTAAACGCATCAGAGTCATGGCCTGGAAGCTCTATGACGTCGGCAAGATCCTCTTCAGGGAGATACTCAAAGGCCTTCTATGGAAGATCCCTAAGGAAATCATCCTAGAAATCTGGTACAATTTATCGTGGAAGAACATCATTCGTGTCGGACAATGTCATGTTGAGAGTATACGTCCTCCTTGTCACGTCCTCCTTGTCACTGTCGTGAATAAGGTTAAGGAGGCCTTCGAGAGATTCTTTTCCTTGCTGCACACCATCGCGCTGGCCATCTGAACGCTGCTGAAGGAGATCACACTTCATGATGTGTGGAACGCGATATGCGATCTTGGCAGAGTAATTTTCAGGGACCTGCCGAGAGCGGTATGGGGTCGACTGTACGATAGTTGTTTGTCATGCTCAACAAATAAACTTTCGATCCTCTGGGGGAAGCGAGTCTGTTTTGAACAAGATGATGAAGTCTGGTAAAGTGGAGGCGATGGGCGACACGTAGAAGAAGCAGAGGGCCGGATATCTCTGCAGGAGAACGATCTGTGTGAGTAACCACAGGGTAGCTAGAGTAGGACTTATTGCATTGTCGACGGCGGCTGCTGTGACGCCACTGTCACGGTGTCCATTAGTAGCACATCAGAACGACGTGAAGGCTCTCGTCGCCTTCGAACCAGAGGAAAAGTCAGTAATCCATGACAAAGTATGACAAAGTAGACATGGTGCTGAGTCGAAGTTAACGGAAATGCGTTCAATCGAGGCAATGGTGTCTGAATGTGTGTTCCACGGAAACGAATGGCTGCCACGTTTCTTGATCGCAGAGATGGAATTCATCGATATCCTCAGCAGCATATATACCCAGTTACGCTTCGACAACAGATACGACCTCTAATAGCACTGAGAAGTCGACCAAAGTCGACGGAATATATGCGCACATTGGAGTATCGAGCGTCGACAGAATTGATTTTCCGAGCTGCATAGGCGTAACTGTATTGTAGGGAGAGATTTCAAAAAGCAGGCAAGGAGAATACGATAAGGCTAAGCTGCGACGTCGGTCGATTTCCTGTCAATTTCATGGTAATCGTCCTAGCGCATCATAAAACATGTAAGCAAGTATATTTCAGAGCTGAGCACATTTCTCACCAAGACCCCTTCTATTGGCATAGTTTATTCCACGACAGCCATTCCGACGAAGGTATGGGGCTAGATCCACAGATCAAAACGAACTTCCAGATCCTGGGGCTTATCCTAGCCATTCATTCAGCTGAATGAGATCGACCCAAACGAAGAAGAGGAAAATTTGAGTTCCCAAACTTCAGAGCAAGGATTTCGCTTCAGCAACGCGAAAGGCAGTGACAGCAACCTGTCTTGAATCCGAGGTGCAAAGAGCTGTTATCTGTCCAACGAATATTAAAAATTATGCAGCGTGATAGAGAAGAAAGCGGTAAGAATAATTGACGTGGAGTTGAGCATTGAATTCGTCGTGGAAAAGAAGAAAGAGGCGCGGGTCACGTGCTACCGCCAAACGTCGCATTTGCTCTCATGTCGGGAACTGTTCCCCTCCGCCATTCCCTCAATACTTCGCGTCCTCGTCCATTTTGTCTTTCCGATAGAATAATAGGGCGATTATTTTACAACATATTCTTACACGCTCGTCCCTCTGACACCAGTCTCTGGACCCTGACGCACACTCTGGTTCGTCCACCTCCTGAAAATTTCGGTTTCTTCTCGAACGCTTCCGTAGCAGAGAAAATCAAGAATGTTTGTATTTACTTTGCTGACACCGTCTACTTTCGTACCAAAGGGATGTCGACTATAACTCCGGCCGGGCCGTACTGTTCAACAACGTCCGAGTCTGATACTTGCGTTGACTAGACCGTTCATTCGATACCGAGGACTTACGTCCCTGGTTCTCTTTTGCCTTCTGTTGTGGCGTATGTCTGGATCTGGAGGCTCGGACGTGGAAGATATCGATCCGAACATGGATCTGGCACGCATCTGTCGTAAAACATGCGATGTCAAACTCTGTTTGGTGTGATATTCCCGGTGAATGGAATTTCACTATTGGCTGCAGTCAACTGGACCCTCAAATTCCAGGTCCCGATGATGAATTTGGCGTTTCGCATTTTCCTTTGTCTCCCAAATCCGGATGTTTGTTACGAAAGGCCCAGGTTCCGAATGCTATGACGGCTCCTCCCGCTCGCTACCACCTCTCTTTCGAAGCACGATCTGGAGAAGAAAATCAGGCCACAAGCCTAGGATTCCTTTCCCTTATTCTCGTAAGCCTCGCTTTATAGCGACCCTTTTCCCTCTTACATACTCAGACGTCTTTGTATTCCTTCCATCACCGAATTCTTAGCCGCTTTCTTGGGAGATAAACGGCTCGACTTTTCTTAGATTTCGGAATAATCGACGTTTTGGATTTGAGCAACAGAGCCCTTTGTCCGCGCTGCAACAAGGCCCAAGCCTAACAATGCTTCCGAATCTGAATGGTTGCAAATTGAGATACGGTTGTAGATTTAAGCGTCGCCGTTGGGAGAGAAAAGTCAATCTTCAACTTGTCTGCCTATTCTCAACCTTCCGCTCCAATTGCATCTGGTACTCCTCGTATCATGGTCGTGAGTGGGGGTCGTTCTCTGAAGGCCTCATTTGATGAGTTACATGTCTTTTCACAGCAAACAATCGCTTCCTCTGTCCACCGATATCCCTGCGACAAATGCACAAGGTCATTTACCAAGAAATGTGACTTAAAACGCCATAAGCCTCAACATTGGACGAAGAAAGAACGAGAAAAAGTGTATGTCTTATTTCTATCCTTACTGACATGGAAAACTAATTTCTCTGTTGCAGGATGTACAAATGCCCTGAGTGTCCACGCATGATGCTACAACGATCCAACTTGCAAACGCACATTAACCATGTACAGTAAGTCCTTTATTTAGTCTCTGCTTGGCACTCAGCATGCTTATCGCTATTTTCTCAGCAAGAAGATAGTCTACAGCAAGGTTAACTATACTTCCACGACGACAGAGCCAGTAAAAAAGAGATGGCACAAAACGAGTCATTGCAATGCACCAGATCCCCGCCTCGAACGCCAACACACACCGGCTAGTAACAACATTCGCAGTGGAAGTGTGTTATTGCCACATAGACCTGTCGCTACTTCCCAATATCAGCCATCACCAGTCCCTTCGATGAGCGCTACTACCTGTGGCTCTGTGTTTGAATCTTCAAATTCCTCCTCTACTCCCAATCGTACGGCACCATTTTCATCTTCATGTCTTCCAACAGTTTCCGGCACCCCCCTTCCATGCTCTTCAGCTTCTCTGCTCCGACTCCCAGCAGAACTATTTATAGTGGGTCCGAGGAAATACCAGCTGCCTCTGATCATCCATGATGAATGTTAATTTGACAAGGTCCATGTTCAAGCCATGCTGTTTTTGGTACAAGATAACAGACAGGTTGGGAGTCGGAAGGGGAATCCCTATATTAAATTGGGTGGTATGGTACAGCTTGCTTCAGGAATAGACATATCTTCATTATCTTTCATTACTCCTTCTTTGGTACTAATTATATCACCCCTGCTTTACACTGTTTCCTAACGTCTTGCTCTTACATCACTGTGTCACTGCTTATCACTTAGCTATCATACTAGTTATTCATTAAAAGCACAAAATTGTGTGGCAGATGAGTAGCTAACTACTAAGAGTTATGCGGTGGTCGTGAGAGATCGGCATCTAATGCCGTTCATTGCTGAACTCTCGGAACAAGCGGCAAGCTTGGCCTCTTTGACTCACTTGGTCCCTGGGCGCCTTTCGCTCTGTGGCAACCCCAACCTTCCCTTGTGATCTTTATCGCTCGTCTGCGATGCTGCTCTCAGTGCCCAACGAAATCCTGAACAGGATTGCCTTTGAAGTAACAACCACCTTATACTGCCGGAAAGAAACTAACCAGCATGCAGGCAGATAGTCGGACTCGTCGGCACCTTCGACGTACATGCCAGCTACTCCGTGATGTCGCCACACCTCTCGTCTTTAAATCAGTCTACATCGACCTATCTTGGAGCCGGCACTCTAGCTCAGCTTCCATCTTTCTTAAATCACTTAATTCTGGTCCGAGATTGGCGCAATACATCATTCGTCTTTCCCTCTATCTGGACAAAGAGTCCCGGCCTCTTCCCTCCCGTTTTGCTAGCGAAGCTAGAAAAAAGACGAGAGACGAGAGACTAGATTCTTTTGATGCCCTCTTCCTTGGAGCTATTCCATCTATGGTTTCATTGAAATCGTTATTGTGAGTTTTGTAAGATTTTGGCGAACTTGATTGATATTGATCACCCATCTCAGTTGGAGAAGTATCGGGAATTTGGGACCGAACTATGCTAA